AGAATAGCAAGTACTCTTAACCACTGAGCCATGTTTCTACAGCCCCAGTTTTTAGTTTTTTTGAGATAGGATATCACTGTGTAGCCCAGGCTAGACTTGAACTCAAGCTAACCTGGGACACATGACCCTGCTGCCTCAGTCTCCAGGGGGTTTGGATCATTACCTTCATGCTATGCTCTAGGGAAGATATTAAGCAACCTCTAGCTCTTAGAGACATCTTTAGGTTTAAGGTGAGTTCACCTTGTGAGCCAGCATCTGCCTACACCGAAGATGGGTACATGTGTAACCCCTTAAAACACCTCCTGAGTTAGCACTTGCTTTAAATGTTTTGTTGTTGTTGTTGTTGTTATTTTGTTTTTTGGTTTTTCAAGACAGGGTTTCTCTGTGTATCTTTGTAGACTAGGCTGGCCTCAAACTCACAGAGATCCACCTGCCTCTGCCTCCCGAGCACTGAGACTAAAGGCGTGCACCACCAACACCTGACTGCTTTAAATGTTTTTAAAAATGAAATTTGATTGTATTTATTTGTATGAAAGCACATCAGAGGACATCTTGGGGAGTTGGTTCTCTCTTTTCACCACGTGAGTCACAGGATTAACTCGGGTCATCAGGCTTGGAAGCAAACACCTTTACCCACTGTGCCATCTTGCTGGCCCTTCTGAGATAGTGTCAATTTGAAATATTTTTCCTTTGTTCCCAAAAGAAAACTCATTCCTGTGTTCTGACTCTGCACTCTAAATACGTGATTGCTATTTAGGTATCTACCAAAGGAATGGGACCAGGCAGACTGTCCCTTGGGAGGGCACATGTTTTTAACACAGTTTCTGAGTGACAGAACCTAGATTCCCCCTAATGCAATCCCTCCCAGACTGGCCTCAGGTTTCCCCTCATTTCTGATCCCTCCAACCACCCCCCAAGTTGAGGCTTCCTCTACCGGGGCTTCTGTGGGACTTTTCACGTGGTTAGAATGGGGGGACCCTCCCTCTCCTTCCCCCAGGTAAAGCCCAGAAACAGCCTGAGCAAGTTTTGGTTCCTCTTTTTCATTCCTTCGGTGAAATGAGACAGTTGTATGTGGACATACTGTGACCCGTGATTCTATGGTCACACTGAGTTTATGGCTCACGGTGGTTGTCTATGGGGAAGGGTCAGGGCAGCTAAACTCTGGAGCCTGGGCCAGTTTCACCCTGTTCTATGGCAGCCCCACCTCCCAAGGGCTGGAGACTTAAATCGTTACTGGCCTGTGTGGGTGCCCAACCAAGACCCTGGCTCCAGACGTGCCTAGCTGAGGACCTCTGGTTTGAGGTGTGAAATGAAACAACCCATGATGGGTCTCCTAGGCAGGACCTCCCCCAGGTCCACCTAGACCCCTGGCTGGTAGGGTGACTTCCTGGCACACCTGCTTTAGGCACCAGGTCCCTCATTCCTTGTTCTTAGCCATCTAGAAGTTTTGTTCAGATCTTGCACTCACAAGGTTTAGCTGTCCACCTTAAGCAAGCAGTCTTTCAAGGGGTCAAAGGTCATTTTGAGTTCAAGGGGACAAAAGGGCTGGTGCCATGGCTCAGTGGGTAAAGGTGCTCGTTATACAAGCCGAGTGACCTAGGTTGATCCCTGGGATTTATGGTGGAAGGAGAGATGGGATTCTCAAATTCTCCTCTGACCTCCACGTGTGTCCTCATACACATACACAGTAATAATAATAGTAAAATTCATTATTATAAAAGATGGGCAGGGCATGGTGGCTCACATTTAATCTCAGCACTTGGGAAGCAGAGGCAGGCAGACCTCTATGCGTTCAAGGAAAGCCTGGTATACATAGCAAGTTTCTGGACAGTATGGATTGCAAGGAGAACCTTGTCTCAAAATTAACTAATTAAGGGCTGGAGAGATGGCTCAGCAGTTAAGAGCACCGACTGCTCTTCCAGAGGTCCTGAGTTCAATTCCCAGCAACCACATGGTTGCTCCCAACCATCCATTATGAGATCTGGTGCCCTCTTCTGGTGTGCAGATATACATGGAAGCAGAATGTTGTATACATAATTAATAAATAAATAAAATCTTTAAAAATTAACTAATTAAAAATAATAAAAAGAGGGGCTGGTGAGACAGCTCAGTGGGTAAAGGCACCTGCCACCAAGCCTGAACACCGGAGTTCAATCTTTGGGACAGACACGCAGGAAAGAGAGAACTAAATTCCACAAGTGCATGTTTACACACACACATACACACACACACACACACACACACACACACACACACACACACTATAAATAAACAAGTGTAAAAACATTTTAAATAGAATAAAGGGATGGTTGTTGCTCCACTTATTATGATCCCTGTTTCAGAACCCAACGTTGGAGTGTGGAACCTAGTAAACTAGGAAGGTAAGTCAGCAGGGTGAAGGGCAAGGAGCCTGGAACAGGAAATAAAATCCAGAGTCCCCAGGAAAACGGCAAGTTAAGAACTCAGTTTCCTTCTACAAGGCAGGAAATGCTCCTTGGGAGAGCTGGGGACACATGGGGCCTTGGTTTCAAATTCCAGTATAACAAACAGAATAAAATCGAAACCCACAATTTTATTGAGAAGACACTAATGCAAGTCTTTCCTGCCTGTTCTGTCATCTAAGACTCTTACTTATGCTATGACAGAATGGGGCAGTGTGCCAAGTCCAGTCATGACCTTTTGGAAGGTGGGCGGGGCCAAAGAGGAGGATCTGTGTTCCAGTGTGTCAGCCTTCCTGAAGAGAGTGTATGGGAGGTAGGTGAAGGCAGGATGTGCTTGACTGAAGGGTTCCAGAGCCAGGATTGTCTTAGGATTCCTGGGCTCCTAGTTAGATCCTAGCTGATATCCAGGCACATAGCTGAGGGCCTTTGCTTTGATATGTGTCATGAAGAAGTGGCCAGGCTTCTCTCCTTGGACACCCTCTGCTGTCCTTCCACCCCCTACTACCACCTGTCTCTAGTAGGTCACACAGTGAGGTGAGGCGTGCAGTTAGGGGAAACTCTTGAGGTTTCTCAGAAGCCAGGAACGGCCAGGTCTCCAGGTGGTTAAAAAGGCATCCAACTGGGTCAGAGCCGATGGTCAGCTTGATGCTGTGGGCGGAAGACACCAACTAACCAAATCAGGGGCAGCCAGTGGTAGGGGTGAGGGTGAAGGTGGGAGCTTGCTGCCTTGAAGAGCAGTTCAGCTTAAAATCTGACCTGTGATCTGGTCTAGATCCTGATTACACTCAGCTGTCATCATGGGGGTGCCACTTGGGCAGTCATAGGGATTCTGCACTTAGAAGGACCTCAGGATTGGTTTAATGCTTTCTGTTGTCATCTTGAATTTTTTGTTTTGTTTTGTTTGTTTGAAACAAAGTCTTTCTATTTTTATTTTTTGGTTTTTCAAGACAGGGTTTCTCTGTGTAGCTTTGGAGCCTATCTTGGCACTCGCTCTGGAGACCAGGATGGCCTCGAACTCACAGAGATCCACCTGCCTCTGCCTCCCGAGTGCTGGGATTAAAGGCGTGTGCCACCAATGCCCAGCTGAAACAAAGTCTTTCTATGTAGCTGTCTGGCCTCAAATTCACAATCCACATTGCCTGAGTGTTGGGATTACAGATGTGTGCTACCGTTCCCATGTTTGAAATTTTTTATTCTTTTTCAACAAAATGCCTTATATTTTGATTTTTGCATTGGACCTGCAAACTACACCAGGTCCTGAGTAGACACATGGATAGATTTGAACCATGGTTGGACTGTAGAGACTACAGCCACTGTGATGAACCCCAGCACTCACATCAGTCCACAGGCCACAGGCGCTTTTCAGCTTGAGAACTGAATGAAGGAGCGAGACCACAGATGCTTGAGAACTGAGGGAGTCAGGGGAACACCTCAAGGTGTGTTCAGAACAGGAGATCTGATAGCACCCAGGGTCTGGAGTTTTCATGGCTTAGCCCAGAAAGCAGCTCATAGAGAATAAGACCATGGTGAAGTTTCCAGTCCCTTCCTGGGCAGCATGACAACATGCTCTTTGAAGAGTAAAACAGTTTAGCATTCCCTGCTGCATGACCCTGGCCACTGGGATCCTCTTCCTTGCTACCATCTGTTCTTGCACTTCCTTTATCTATACTTCTGTCTAAAAGCTTCCAGGAGGGATTCATTCCCCGCTCTTGTCTAGACCATGAGCTATCTGAGGGCGAAGATGAGGTTCTCAACTCCTCCACCCAACACAGAATGCTGTACCTTGATGATGAAACCATACAGCAAGGTGAACAAGTACATATATATTTTTGAGACAAGATCTCATGAGTCTGGCTAGCTTCAAACTTGTTATGTAGCTAAGGGTGATCTTGAACTTCTGATGCTTCTGTCTCTGTCTTCCTCATGCTTTATGGGCATGTACCACCATTCTCAGTGTATGTGTGCTGGGGGTGAAACCTGGTTTCATGCATGCTTGGCACTCTACCAACTGAGTCCTTCCCCAGTGAACAACTACACGTTGACTGACTGACTAGCAGGGCTGACATACTGACATTAAGAAAGCTTCCAGCTGGGCGTGGTGGTGCATGCCTTTAATCCCAACACTCGGGAGACAGAGGCTGGCGGATCTCTGTGAGTTAAAGGCTAACCTGGTCTACAGAGTGAGGTTCAGGACAACCAGACTACACAGAGAAACTCTGTCTTGAAAGACAGACAGAGAACTTCCAAAATGCTTTGCCATTCTAACCCAAAGAGACAAAGAGAGGACCTTGTATTGAAGAACCGAGAGGTGGAGGTGTGCTCCTAGTCGCACAGCAGGAGATGCAGAGCCTCCCCTATGGCTGCCATCTCCCTCTGGTATCTATTAATGGCAACAGATAGGGTGGACAATAAAAGTCTAAAAGTGCAGCCACCCAGGTGTTCACCTATGTTCTATAATCCTTGCGGAGGGACTCCCACGCTGTCCCCTCTCCCTTGATACAGAATATTTAAAATTCCAAGCAGGACCTAGACAACAGGAAGACACATGTCTCTACTCACCAGGTCATCCAGGTTATAGGTGATGAAATCCATGTCCAGGGTTAGCGGGTAGTTCATAGCTGTACTTCTGCGTCACCAGACTGGTCACTGTCTGATGCTGAGAAATTCTGTGCTGGTGTCTATGGAGAGGTGGCAGGCGTCAGCTGCAAATTTAAACAAATGAGCTGTGTGCTGTCTCCTGAGGCCGTGTAGGGCTTGCCACTTGCCTCTCAACTCATCATTTTTTTTTTTCCACTGGGTCTTTTCTGTTGTGTGTGTGTATGTGTTTCTTTTTTTTTCCTTTCTTTCTTTTATTTAGAAAAAGGGAAACTCCCCCACAGCATCAGCACTAGTCAAGCTTTTCCTGGCAGTTGTGGTCTGAACTGGGCCAGGGGTCTGGTGTGAAGGCAGCCCTTCGCTTCTGCTCGCTGGACCTGTATGAGGGATGCAACAGACTTGGGAAACTCCTCATTGAAAGGGACAAGAACAGAGTGCTTCCAGCCACCTCTAGGTCTTCACTTTCCTCATCACTAGGGTGACCAACCACACCAGTTTGCCCAGAACCAAAAGAAAGTCCCCTGCCCTGGGAAACCCCTCAGCCCTAGGCAAACCAGGGCACTTGATCAACCTGTTATTGCCATCCATTTGCCCAGGCAGGAAGGAGTATCCCCCTTCCCATTTCAGTTCAAGTTTGAAAGGGATAAGTTATAATTTTTCAAAGGGAACAACCCTAAAATAATACTAGAAGACCAAAAAACAAAATCACCAAATTAAATCACAACATAAACACAGCTACAGAGCCATGCTCTGACTCAGAAAAAAATGTGTTCACCCACAAGTAAACCTGTAGACAGCCTGGCTAGAAGGGACGTGGGCAGCTATTTAGACCACCCCTCCCTCCAATTTTATGCAAGAGGACCCTGAGCTGAGAGAGAGAGAGAGACACAGAGACAGACACACAGACAGACCGACCAACAGACACACACACACACACACACACACGCACACACGCACACACGCACACACGCACGCACGCGCGCACACACACACACACACACAGAGGCAGACAGACAGACAGACTTACCCAGAATTCTGTAACCAGTGGCAGCCACCTTACACCCAAGGGTCCTGACTCCATATTATCCTCTGCTTCCCGAGGCAGCTGCCCTACAGGTTCACAGTACCTGCTCCTCCCTCAGCTCTGTCCCCATTGTGAGTGTCTCCTCTGTCATGAAGACCTGTGGTAGACATTGATCCATTTCCCCTCCAGGTCTCATGCTGGTGGGTTTTCTTCCATGGTGTGTGTGTGGGGGGGGGGGGGGCGGAGCATTTCCTGACTTGGCCCATAATAGTGTAAGATTGTACCCAAAAGGCACTTACATACTGTGTACTGGGTGTTTGGGGATTTTTTGTTTTGTTTTGGTGTGTCTCTGTGTGTTTTGTTTTGTTTTGCCCCAGTGTTGTAATCATCCTCCCTTTCCAAGCCAAATCACTACCCACACACGACATGTTTTTTTCTCTGTTCTGCCATTGTCATCACCCTTCTCTTCCAGGGGATCCTACCCTCACCAGGGTTCTCCTTCACCATCCCTTCCACAGTCCAGTCTCCCCTTTCCCAGCCTGTGTACCTTGCTGATAGTCTCTCCTCTTGTCCTCAACATAAAAAACAGCTTCCTCAAGGCTTAACGTGGGAAGACTTTTAAGCTCTGTTTGGGCTATCTCAGTTTCTCCTGTCTTTTCTCTTTTTCCACCTTCAGAAACTGCTTTAAAAAAAATATTACGCTGGGTGGTAGAGGCGCACGCCTTTAATCCCAGCACTCAGGAGGAAGAGGCAGGCGGATCTCTGTGAGTTCGAGACCAGCCTGGTCTACAAGAGCAAGTTCCAGGACAGCCTCCAAAGCTTTACAGAGAAACCATGTCTCGAAACCCCCCCTAAAAAATAAATAACATTAATAAATAAATATTACATTACATTTTTATTTTGTGTGAGTGTGTGTGTGCGTGCTTGAGAGAGAGAGAAAGAGCATGAGAGAGAGAGAGAGAGAGAGAGAGAGAGAGAGAGAGAGAGCACACCTGTGGAGGTCAGAGGACAACTTGTGGAAATTGGTTCTCTCCTTCCATAATGTGGGACCAGGCTTGGAGACGAGTGTCTTTACCTGCTGAGCCATCTTGCTGGCCTTGAAACCTGCTCTTGAGGAGGAAGAAGACCAGGACAAGGGGCTGGAGCGCCTCTGTAGCACTTCTAGTCCCTTACCCTTCTGGGACACTCGGTTCTTCTTGGGTCTTGAAATGACTAAGCACTGCTTACCCTTCCAATCCTACCCCACATTGTCTTGCCCCTCCAGCCTGTACACAAGTCAGTTTTTGCTATCCCGAAAGCACTGCTCAGAAAAGACAAAACATGAGATCTCCTAGGCATGGAAAGCGAGTTTGAAAGACAAGCCAGTCACCCCTCACTCCACCCCCAGAGAATGCAAGAATAGAGGTCACTGCATCTTCATCAAACAACCAGTCACAGGGTGAGAAAGTCACCTATGAAATCTTGTTTTCTCAGATATACGGGTGAACATCTGTCACCCTAGCACTTGGGAGGGTGAGGCAGGAGGATTATAAATTTGAGATTAAAGTGGACTACGTGGTTAGTCCCGCCCAAAAATAAAATAAAAAGAAGAAGAGGGATCTTGTTTCAGAGTAGTACGGTTTAGTGTTTACTGTTAGAAACTGACGCCTTGTGCTGAGTCAAATGGTATCTTCTTGAGGTATCCCAGCAGTCCCAGGGCCTCACACAGGACCAAGTAGCATGTCTCCCAAGTGACCTCTGACTACAGATACCATGTGCTTGTGAGTCTCATGTTTCTGAAACCCATATTTTAATGTCTTCAACTATTTTCCAAAGAACTGATTTGTGAATCCTTTATCAGCCTGTTCTTTGACCTCTGGGTGTTTTCCAGTCCAGGAAGTCTGTGACTAAGACAAACTCTAGGAAACTGAGTTTCCTTGTTCAAGACTCCAAACATACATAGCTGCAATTAGCATGACCATTCTGTGGACTCCTTCTCCTCTTTGACCTCATGAAATCCTCTTAGTGGGTTTCATGCTGGTGGGTCTAACCCATCATTTGATTTTAGAAAAGAACTCGTTGCCTGTGGATTTGATGACAACATATGTAAGCTGTCCTAGCTCCAGCCACGTCTCGACAGGCACTCATAGCAGAACAAAGCCAAAACCAGTGCTCTGCTTCATATCACTAGACAACTCAAAGGTCTGGGAACACTTCTCGGAAGTAGGACCCAAACTGGACATTAGGGAGGTGCATGATGGGAGGATGATGATGAAAATGGAGGGTTGCATACAAAAAGTGTGGATCGGGGCTGGAGAGATGGCTCAGAGGTTAAGAGCACTGACTGATCTTCCAGAGGTCCTGAGTTCAATTCCCAGCAACCACATGGTGGCTCACATAACCATCCGTTATGAGATCTGGTGCCCTCTTCTGGTGTGCAGATATATATGGAAGTAGAATGTTGTGTACATAATAAATAAAGTCTTTAAAAAAAAAAAAGTGTGGATCCAGGCAGTGGTGGCGCACACCTTTAATCCCAGCACTCGGGAGGCAAAGGCAGGCGGATCTCTGTGAGTTCCAGGACAGGCTCCAAAGCTACACAGAGAAATCCTGTCTCGAAAACAAACAAAAATGTGTGGAAAGAATTGTGCCATTCCTGGCACACTGTAGTCACTCAGCAAAGGGGCAGGGTGATAGTGATGACAATGTGAGGAGGTAGGAGGAGTCTGGAATTGTTCTTGGGGCTGTCTCCTCCCATATTCTCAACCACTGGCCCTTTTCCTGTGTGTTGTAGCCTCAGAGGAAATGTTAGAGGGCTCAGGACTGTTTCTTTCTTTTCTTTTTTCTTTTTTCGGTTTTTCGAGACAGGGTTTCTCTATATAGCTTTGGAGCCTATCCTGGCACGGGACTGTTTCTTAGTAGCAGCAACTGCAGTCCTTGAGCAGTAAATTTACCTGTAGTGTGGTGCTGGCTGCAGCAAAGCAGTCCCCATATCATCTCCACAGGGACTGAGCCAAGCCCTGTAGAACTGCTGCACCCAGGCTGTTACCCTCTGCTTCCCAAAGCTTCTTGCACTCTGACTCATTCAGATATTAACCCTTCTAGATCCTTTTGATGCAAGGAATTTTTTTTCCCTTCAAGACAGGGTTTCTTTGTGTAGCTTTGTTGAGCAGGCTGGCCTCGAAATCACAGAGATTTGCCTGCCTCTGCCTCCCGAGTGCTGGGATTAAAGGCGTGCGCCATCAACGCCCGGCTAAGGATATATTTTTTAAAAATTTATTTTATGTGCATTGGTGTGAAGGTGTCAGATCCCCTGGAACTGGAGTTTCAGACAGTTGTGAGTTGCTACGTAGGTGCTGGGAATTGAACCCGAGTCATCTGGAAGAATAGCCAGTGATCATAACTGCTCAGCCATCCATCCAGCCCCCAACAAGGATATATTCTTACTGGGCCCTTTAATCTTAGCCCTTTTGATGTAAGCCCTTGTGGATAAACACCTCCTGTCCACAGGCTTTGGTGGTGCTTCAGAAGCCACAGAGGGTTCCTAACTGTGTTTGGAAAAAGGCTCTGCTAGATCTTATTAAAGATGCATCTATTTAAATTGTATTTTATTCTTTTGTGTTTGTGAGTGTTTTGCCTGCAAGTACATATGTATGTACACTGTGTTCCTGTGTGTGCCTCTGCTTGAGGAGGCCAGAAGTGGGCATCAGAAATCCTGGATTAGGAGTTACAGAGGATTGTGAGTCACCATGTGGGTGCTGGGAATTGAACCCAGATCCTTTGGAAGAGCAGCAGTCAGTGTTCTTAACCACTGAGCCACCTTGCCAGCCTCTGTAGTGGGATCCTAAGTGTCTCCCAAAGGCACATGTATTAGAGGTTTGATTCCCAGCCTGTGCCACTATTAAGAGGTGGTAGAAGGGGGAAAATGTAGTTCTGGTGGTGGAGTGCTGGCCTGGAAGCATGAAGCCTTTTTTTCTATTCCCAGCACTGTATAAACTGGGGGTGGTGACTAAGCCTT